GATGGGTACTGGGGATTGAACTCAGGGGCAGTCAACCACTGAGCCACATCTCCAGCCATATTTTGCATTTTATTTAGAGACAGGGTCTCACTGTTTATTACCAGTCATGATAGTTTATTCTCATGTCTGTGCCATCCTGTGAGAAATTAAATTAAATTAGTTAATTAATTAATCAATTGATTTTGTTATACTGGGGATTGAACCCTAGGGCACTCTGTCACTGTGCTATATCCCCAATCCTTTATTATTATTGTTATTATTTTATTATTTAATTTTAAGATAGGGTCTCCCCAAGTTGATCAGTGCCTTGCTAATTTGCTGAGGCTGGCCTCAAACTTGTGATCCTTCTGCCTTAGCCTCCTGAGTGGGAGAAATTTTAAAGAGGAATTTGCAGGCAGGGTGGGATTTCAGGTTCCAAAATGAAGCCATGGACCTCAGTGTTTCTCAACGTTTTTGCTGACTAACCTTCATTTTCCTAAGAAGTGCTTTAAAAACTTAAATAATCCTTTCCTGTAGACTTCATGACTAAATTGAAATGTTCTTGAGTACCAATGTGAAAGTAATAATAAGCATGTGTAAATCTAGAAAATGCATAGATCTTCTTCCCACACAGGCCAAATGCCATTTTTCCTCCACTCACAGCTGGTTCTCAGGAGGAAACCATTCTTCCTTGTGTGTCAGCTTGCATGAGGTTTGGTCATGAGAGAAGCGCTCCCAGAACAGTTCTTGGTGGAAGTTGCGCTCTCAGGGATCATGCACATTTTGATGTGATCTTTTTAATCAGCAGGAGATTTTGAGTCAGGAGAATTGTGCACAGGGGTGAAATGTTTCTAGCTAGTCTTTAACACTGGCTGGGGCTTCACTTTTTCCTCCCCTCCCCTCCTCTTCACTCCCCTCTCTTTCTCTCTCTTTTCTTCTCTATAGTCTGTGGACTGCAACCTACAGTTTATGACATGGGATATGATATTTTTAAAACAGGAGTAACTGCCTGGGCTGCTTTCTAAAACTCTTTGAGTCAAGATGAGAGTGTCTTATGGAGCCGTCCTGTGGAAGGGAACTCCAGGGGAAATTTGAACACAGATTCTGAGTGGGAGTTCTGTTTTCTATATAAGCAGTTGTCCTTTCCTTCACCTCCCACTGGGAGGCACAAGTGGAGGAAGGAGGGAGCTCTCTATTTTATCATTTTCCTCGTGAATCCACCATTTCTTTATTAATTTCAGGACATTTTGGAGGAAGAAGAGAATAGTAAATGTCCACGTTTTGATTGCTTATGTGGTGCTGTAAATGGGTCACATGGATTCATTGTCACTGTGAAGAATAGGGTTCACCCATGTAGCCACTCCACAGTTGGAAGGCTCCCTGTGAAGCCATGCATTGATGCAGGCATTGGGGAAATGGGCACAGGGATCAATGTTTTTATGGGCATTTGAACTTGGAGTTTTTCTAAAAAGATCTTTCGACAAACTAGTTAGCAGATCCTTAATCATAGTATGTGAAGATATTTCCCAGAATATGAAGGCTGGGATGTGTTTGCATATTTAAATAAAACAAGAGCATATTGTCTAAGGAAAGTCCATGTGACTGCTCAGCCCAGGCTGTCAGTTGGAATCTAAGTCACAGCTGGATCATTGTCTCCATGTAGGTAAAGCACAAGCTGTAACTGACAGCTGCTGCCACCCCCACCCCTGGACTTCCCCAAGGAGGACTGAACTACCTATTAGCAATTTCCATCCTTGATGGTGATATCTGATGAGTGACCACACTTAAGAGATTCAGGGAGTCAGTGCAGTAGGTAGGTCTGACTTGGAATCTCTGCACCTGTAATTATGCTCCAGAAGCTTCCTTTTGCTTTTTTCCCCAAAGTGCCCTTCACATTCCAAGAAAAAAATTTAAAAATTTCTGGCCCGCTGCACTACAGGTAGGACATATACTTTGAGTCAGTCTTTTTTTTAAAAATTGATTTTATTTTTTTTAAATACACGACAGCAGAGAGTGATAATGTTTGTTTTCATCCATTTATGTCTTCCCTCCTCCTCATTAAGTCCAGAAAACCTCATGAGATGTCCCTACCTGTGACTGGGGTGCAAACCAAGCCTATTTTGTAGGCCAACATGGGAAACAAACCCATCTTCATGTAATCCTTTAGTGCCTGACCTGATCGATAACCATATTAATTCCTTGATTTGAAGATTTGTACCCTTCTTCGTTGAAGGCTTGGGCCTTTTCTGTAGAAACCATTATTTTATATTATCTTTGGTGACAGTGCATTAATCCTCTAGTTCTTGTGCAATATTCCCAGTTTCAATTATAAATATCCACAGTGTCATATAATAGTGAGACAACTGTCATGTGTAAGTTATTCTTACCTGAGAACATGATCAACCTTAAACACTTGGTGTAAATTATGGGCATGCACAATGGAGGCACGGCACATAGTCTTCCACTTCTAGGAGAATAAAGAAAACAAGAGCATATATTTACTTAAATGTCTAATAGTGTCTTTGCCATATGTCTCTTCTCCAAGAGTGTGCTTTCAGGAATTGTCTCATGTAGTGGACATGGGTTGTTTGTCCTTATTTGATAAGCTCTGTCAACACTCTGTTGCTAAAGGAACGTGCTAAATCTCAAGTAATGCCATGAGTGCTAAGAGGATCACCATAGTCTGTTAAGAAATGATCACCCTGGCTAACAGGAACTAAGCTCCTGATGCTGTTCTAACCCAGTCAGGCTCTTCTTGTCTTGGTAGCATGCTTGATGTTTGCTGGAGTGAGTTGGATCTGTCCAGTGCGTCATCCTGGTGTGTACAGGAAGGCTCTCTGGGCACAGGAAGCCATGCATTGAACGCAGGCATTGGGGAAATGGGCACAGGAATAGTGTTTTTATGGGCATTTGAACTTGGAGGGTTTTTTAAAAAGACCTTTCGACAAACTGGTTAGCAGATCCTTATTCATAGTATGTGAACATATTTCCCAGAATATGAAGGCTGGGATGTGTTTGCATATTTAAAGAAAACAAGATCATATTCTCTAATAAAAGTCCATTGACTGCTCAGCCCAGAGTGTCAGGTGAGGAGAGAGCCAGGTTTGGTGGCGTCTGAAGCTTGTGGAGTTGTGGGAGACTCTTTGAGGAAAAGCAAACACAATGACATAAGGACACATTCTCAGTGCCTCTACAGGCCTAGAGCGTGTTGGGAGGAGAACTCAAGCTTCATGGGCCTCAAGGAAAGTCTGTTTCTCTGGGTTGTTTGGAAAGAGGGAGATCAAATCACTCCAAAGTACCTGATAAAGGACAGAAAACTCTTCTTAAATGAGTAAATGTAATGGTGAGTTTTCCCCTTTAAATCAAAAACAGAGTTTGAATATAAAAGTGAAAAATAGCTTAAACAATTGGGAAGTAATTGGATCAGGGTTTAGACATAGCCTCAGGTTTCTAAATAATGAATATGAACTGAACTTTAGGATAGTACCCTCACATTTTTTTTTTTTTTTGAAATTTTGAAGGATTATTTCAACACACAAAGTTCTTTAGTGTGTCTTCTAAATTTTACCCATTTCTACCTGCCTCTGGGACCCACTGATAAGCCCAGTTGTTTTAGGCCTCTGTTGTTGGTATTGAATAACTTCTTCACCATGTTGGCCTAGGACCTGACTTCCTTAACAAGACTCCTAAAGCACAAGAAGTAAAATCAAGAATCAATAAAAGTCATGGACTAAAATTAAAAAGCTTCTTCTCAGCAAAGGAAACAATAATGTGAGGAGAGAGCTTACAGATTGGGAGAAAATCTTTACCACATGCGTCTCTGATAAAGCATTAATCTCTAGGATATATAAAGAACTCAAAAAACTTAATACCAAAAAAATAAATAACCCAATCAATAAATGGGCATACAAGAAGGAATACAGTCGATCAGCAAATATATGAAAAAGTGTTCAACATCTCTAGCAATTAGAGAAATGCCAATCAAAACTACACTAAGATTTTATCTCACTCCTGTCAGAATGGCAATCATCAAGAATACAGATAACAATAAGTGCTGGTGAGGACGTAGGGGAAAAGGCACACTCCTACATGGCTGGTGGACTGCATATTGGTGTAACCACTATGGAAAGCAGTGTGGAGATTCCTCAGAAAACTGGGACTGGAACCCCCATCTGACCCAGCTATCCCACTCCTCGGTTTATACCCAGAGGACTTAAAATCAGCATACTACAGAAATGCAGCCACATCAATGTTTATAGCAGCTCAATTCACAATAGCTAAACTGTGGAGCCAACCTAGGTGTCCTTCAATAGATGAATGGATAAGGAAAATGTGTGATATATATATATATATTTTTTTTCAATGAAATACTCAGTTTTAAAGAAGAATGAAATTACGGCATTTGCCAGTAAATAAATGGTGTTGGAGAATATCATGCTAAGCAAAAACAAGCCAATCCCAAAAAACCAAAGGCAGAATGTTTTCTCTAATATGCAGATGCTAATTCACAATAAGGTGGTGGGGAGGACTAGAAAAGATTAGCATTACTTTAGATTAGGTAGAGGGAAGTGAAGGGAGGGGAAAGGAGGGGATGTGGGGATAGGAAAGACAGTAGAACTAAACAGACATTATTACTTTATGTATATATGTGACCACATGACCAATGTGATTCTATAACATGTACACTCAGAAAAATGAGAAATTATATCCCATCTATGTATATCAAAAGTCCATAAATGCATTCTACTGGCATTATAACTAATGAAAACAAATTTTTAAAAAATTTAAAAAGCTGCATTATACATTTCTGCATATTTCTGAAAGGCATACAATCAAATATAATATGTTTCTCTGAAGTATAGATATACATTTTTTCATTTGAATGCTATAGCATAAAATTATATTCTTTTTTTAAAAAAAAAACATTTATTTTTTAGTTGAAGTTGTTTATCTTGTTTATTTTTATGTGGTGCTGAGGATCGAACCCAGGGCCTCACACATGTTAGGCAAGTGCTCTACCACTGAGCCACAACCCAGCCCAAAGTTATATTCTTTAAATGTTATTTTTTGTCACACTTTAAGAAAAATTCTGTACTGCTTGTAAATATTGCCAAAGAATGTGTGATAGTGTGACCTCTCAGTCTTCTACAAGGGCATTGTTTAATAGGTGTCTATGACTGCTTAATTATCTAGGAGAATGATCCCATGGCTGCCTTACTCATTTACTATTTGATTATAATTGAGATGTTATCTACTAAATTGGCGAGTGCCTTTTTGCAGGTATGAAAGGTTACTGTAAAGATATTAGTGCCCTGGAGGACATGAATTCGTTTTAATGTAATCTACCAATCTCTTTCTTACATCCTCTCAAAAATGCCTGTAAATTTCTACCTTCTCAAAAATACTCTTCCCTGGACCATTTGTTAATGAGCTTACAAACCTTTCTGTGTTTGCTTAAGAGTCAAACACTTTGCTTAAGTGTTTTTAACTGTTTGAAAGAGGTGCTCTGATGTAGGCATTGCACGTATCATTTTGTGATCGATGGTAAGGGTCTTATTTCAGTTGTCCCTTTATACTGTGCATCTTTCTTGTCCATTAGAACCTTTAATCTTCAATAATGAAGAGCTGATTTGGAAAAGAGGTAAAAATATCATTAGTTTCCAAATAACAGGTATTTTCAATGTATTAGAATGAAAACTAATAGAAGCATAAAACTCTTGACTTTTAAAAGTTGTTATTATTTGTATTGGTGTATTATAATTATAAAAGTGGAATCCATTATGCCATATTCATGTGTGCACCTATCATAATTTAATCAGTATTATTCCCAATACTTTCTCCTCCCTTTCTCCCTCCCCCACCCACTTACTCTATTCTACCGGTCCCCTCTTTCTTTATTAGTATTTTTAAATAGTCATTGTAGCTGCACATATAAATGAGATTTCATGATTTATTCTCAGAGGGACATAACTAATTTGGTAGATTCCCAGGGACTTCCCCACGCCCTCTTCTCCTCTCTCCCTCTCCATCCCTTTCCTCTACGCTTCAATTTTCATGAGATCCCTTTTTTATTCCTCCCCCCCCCTCTAGCTTCCACATATGAGAGGGAACATTTTTACCCTTGACTTTCTGAGTCTGGCTTAGTTGATTTAGCAGTGTTCTCTAGTTCATCCATTAACTGACAAATGACATAATTTCATTCTTCTTTATGGCCAAGTTAAACTCTATTTTATTCATTCATTCATCTGTTGATGAGCCCTTGGGCTGATTCCACAACTTGAACTAAATCAGTGTACTATAGTGATATGTGAGTACCAATGATTATAGCAGTGCGATTCACAAAAACATTTAGCATTTTAATTAGCTTAAAATTAGAAACCACAGGGGCTGGAGCTATAGCTCAGCATTAGAGCGCTTGCCTCATACATGTGAGGCACTGAGTTTGATCCTCAGCACCACATAAAAATAAAATAAAAGATTTTAAAAAGGAAAAAATTAAAAAATAGAAACGACATACTTATTATATGCTCCTTAATAGCACAGCAATAAAAATATTTCCTCCAAGATTGTGAATCACAAAGTGGGGAAAAATCTATATTATCTCTTACCTGTGTGGTAGGTCTCATTACATTTTTCCTGTTTACACTTTAGGATAAGATATACTTGTGCATTTAAGATGTGCATGGGGGCAGTGTCAGTTGCATCTAATTCATGAAGAGAAACTTAAAATAAAGTTTGATTTTTGACTAATATAAAATTTTTGTATGTCTTTTGGGAAGATGTTATACATGTGTCTGATATTTGTTTATTTTTTATTTATATATGACAGCATAATGCATTACAATTCTTTTTTAAATTTTTTTAATAGAGAGAGAGAATTTTAATATTTATTTTTCAGTTTTTCGGCGGACATAACATCTTTGTTTGTATGTGGTGTTGAGGATCGAACCCGGTCCGCATGCATGCCAGGCGAGCGCACCACCGCTTGAGCCACATCCCCAGCCCCTACAATTCTTATTACTCATATAGAGCACAATTTTTCATGTCTCCGGTTGATTACAAAATATATTTACACCAATTCGTGTCTTTATACATGTACTTTGGATAATAATGACCATCACATTCCACCATCATTTCTAACCCCATGCCCCCTCCCTTCCCCTGATATTTAAATTTATGAAACTTTCTAAATGTTTTCAGGATGTGGCTTTCAGAGAGAAAGCCTGTGGTTCCCTCACCTGACTTAATGGTCATCTTCTCTGGAGAAGGAATTTATTTTGCCATGTGATCTGGGAGCTGGTAGTCACTGGACTCGTATCTCAGTGGAAACAGCCCTGTGAGGCCCTGGAACTCTGGCTGAGGCTTGAGTCTTCTTTGTAATGTTCCATTCCTTGGTGTGTTCAAGACACACGTGATCAGGCAGTGGAACCACTGCTCGGAGTCCTGCAGGGCAACTTGGTGCCTGAAGACAGAGCAGGTCTGCCTGCAGGACTCAGACTTGTAAGTCATGTTAGGTTAACATCCAAATCCTGGGGCAGGCCTGAGAGCCTGGTAAAGTCAGATTGAATTCAGTGTCCAGGAGTGGTGAGCTGACTAGCAAAGTGGTGAAACTATCACTGTGGTAGCAGAAGTTCAGGAGGGGAGAATTCAAGATAAAAGGGGAGGGCTTCTAGCTCATTGTTTGTCCAAGCAGCAAAAAGAAAACAATAAAAACCTGAGAACTTCTGGGACCATTCATTTTGGCATCTGGGGCAGTGACACAGTATCCAGGTGAAGCCCACTATGTGTCCTTTCAGGAATGGAGAGGCCCCGGGTGCGGCCCTTCAGTCAGCAAATGGCTCTCAGGCTGGGTTTTGAGTTCAGGTCCAGTTAGCCAGTGGGATCCTTCTTGTGATTCTGCTGTGCCCGCGCACCTGTGCATCTGTCTGTGTGTCCTGATGAGGTGATGGATCACTGCAGTCCACAGGGAGATCAGGTGGAATCTGATTGGGTTCTGGAAGATAGTAGGTTCTCAGTATATATTTGGTGAGGAAGTAAAAATCGGAATGATTCTCTTTCCTATAATAATACCTAGCAGAATCCCAAGATCTAGCTTTCCTTCTCTGAGCTATGGTCTGTCTTCTTACCCAATGATTGTGACTAGAGGGTTTGGGCTTTCAACTTACCAGGGGTAGAGCCAGAAACCAATTTGTAAATTGAACTTTGACCAGGTGCTCACCTGCATCACCTCGACAATAAATCAAAATGCACCAACTCTTTAGCTAATTAGTTTAACACCTATCATTAAAAGTATTTGGTTTTAGGTTCATATAACAGATGGTTGGTTGTCTGTCTGCCTCTCATATTAGATGCTAAACTTTCTGAAAACAGAACTGCATTTCTCTTTGTGGTCATTAAGTGATGCATGACTTAAATATGCTTAAAATGATAGCACTTAATAAGAGTTTACCAAGTACCTGAAGAAATTAGTATAGTCATGTGCTCATGATGATGTTTTGGTTTATCATGAGCATATGTGCTGGTCCCAAAGATTTTATTGGAACTAAAATAATGCTATTGGGCACGCTCTTACTGTACTTTTTCTGTGTGTAGATACACAATTATTGTGTTAAAATTACCTCCATATTCAGTATAGTCTCATGCTGTATAGGTGTGCATCCTGGGAGCAATGGGCTGTATCATATGCTTATGTGTGCAGCAGTCTAGGCAATGTAGGTTTGTGTAAATGCACTCTATGATGTTCACAGCATGTTGAAATCACCTAGCATCTCTCAGAACATGTCCCTGTCATTAAGTGATGCATGACTTAAATATGCTTGTTTGAAATTATATGGAAGATGGAGACTCTCCATGTGTGTTTCATAGACATTTGTGTGTTGCCTACTGAGAATGAAACTTCATGAGTACCCTCAGCTCTCCAGCTGCTGACCCATTTCCCATGGAAATTTCAATGGACTGATTTCAAGAGTTGTATTTACTTCTGGTAGTGAAATGCATGACATGATTTCTAGCCTAAGAGACCTCTTGCAGTAGAGCTGAAAAAGGACAGTGTCTGTGAAACCACCTCAGACCAAAAGGCAGGAAAGAGGAAGCTTTGGGGCAGGGGTTATTAGCTGTATCCAGGGGGACTGAGAGTATGATCTGAGCCAGGTCAAATGCTCTGCATACTCTGACCAGGTCTCCTGGGAGCACTGTGTCACCAGAGTTCTCCAGAAGCCTGCTTTGCAGTGTCTAGTTGGCACTGGACAAAGCAGCATCTGATCCAAGAAGGGAAAAGCCTGAGAAGAACCGGGCTGGGGCTGGGGACTGGAAAGGAAAATGCACCTCAGGGCAGGGGATGTGCAGTTGGACAGAGGGCCGGTATGGTTCAATGTGGTGATGGTGTCCAGTACTGTCCTTGATACCCAGGAGGCGAAGTTCACTTGAGTCATGACCACCTCTGGGCATGGGAGCTGTGGCTTGGTTTCTTGGAGCCTATCACAGCATGAAGAAGCTCCCATGGTGCTGCAGACGAGACCCTGCTGGTCTGAGATGGGGGATTCTGACTTTCTTCTTGGATGGTCATTTTTGTCCATACAAACATCGCTGGCATGATAACACACCCATGCTATTGCTTTGAGAATATCTCTGTTTTCCAATGTCTCTAATTTTATTTTTCAGAATTGCATAGAAGAGACACAGTGGAGTTTGTAGAAATGATGATTCCATTAGTCTTCTTTGGAAATGTGCTAACATAAGCAAACTTATTAAGAGGTAGTAGAGTGATGTCGTTACAAGAAGAATTCCTGGGTTGGAATTATGGTTCCATAGTTCATGCCAACTGTGTTATCTCAGGTAACATGCTTCCCTTCTCTGTGTCTGTTTCCTCATCTCTAAAAATAAAGAAGTGCCAAGAAGTTTAAATTAATATATGTAATCCCTCAGATTTTAACTGTTTGGATCAACTTGCTATTAACAGCATAAATCTTCTTCCAACTTCACATACTTTATGTGAGCTGAAAAGGATTCTCCAGCCATTGTCCAGGTGTCTGTGTGATGATAATAGACCCTGGACACGTGGGCTGCTTGTTATCTGACTGGTATTTCTAAAGTCTTGGAAAAAATATATGGTGTCTGGCCACCACAGCTCACAATAGAAACAAAAATTTTAAATGCGTAAGGAAACAAACTACTTCACAGGAGGAAATAACAGAATACAGGATGAGATCAAAATGGATGGAGATATTGAAAATGGGTTTAGAATGCCAAAATGTGTTATACGTCTAAAGAAACAGAAGATAGGAATAATGAAATAAAGAATTTCTTTTACATAAAGTTTCCTTCATATAAAGAAACATTCTTTATATGAAAATGATCAAGCAGAATTGAAAAGAATGTTATCTAGACATGAAAAGTGAATTATTGAAATCAAGAATTCAGTGAATTCTCAAACAGAAGAGTAGACACAGGTGGAGAAAGACTCAGCCGCTTCAAGACAAATCTGAAATAAATAGCCAGCATACACCCCAGAGAGAGAAAGAGAAGGAAAATATAAGACACGGGTTAAAGGGGCAGGGTGGAGAGCAACGAGATCCACACATCTGATCTGGGTTCTGGAGGAGGAAAGACATAATGGACGATTTATAAGGATTCTCATCATTCAAGCAGGTCACCAATCTTGAGAGTCCAGAAGAGTTTGAAATGCCTAGGAATAAAAAGAAACCAGTTCAGACCACCAACACCACCATAGGGGAAAGGTCCAACACCAGAAGTACAGAGAAGCTGTAGAAAGCAGCCCAAGGTAGAGTTAGCAAACAGTGAAACACTCAGCCCCATGAGCTCTCAGAGTTCTGAGAGGGAATAAACACCAAGGGTGATAGATTTAGCTTCCAAGAGTAGTGGGAAGGTAGTCATTCACAGAAAAGTAAAATCTTTAAGACTTAAGAGGATGCCAGACCACCAACCCTTCTAATGGACGGAGGGGGAGGGGCAGAAAGGAAGCCATTATAGGGGCAGGTGTGAGTAGTTAGAATCCCGAAGTTGTTACACAAATGATGCTCCTGAAACTAATTGCAGAGTTGAAATAATAGCAAAGGTGTATAAACAACATGTCTGTGTAGTTGGCGGTATTAAAGCAAAGAAGGCAAGACTAAGTGAATAACTGGGAATAAAGGTGGAAAGGAAGTCAGAATTAAAGCATTCTTGGTTTCTACATTATTTGGTGAAGAGAGTTGAAATTTGTTTAATTTTATGCTTTGGTTAGTTGTTAGGCAGAATCAGCATAATATATCAAGGAGGATGGCCAAAGGAGTGGTAAAAGATGGAGAGATTCCAACTAATAAAAGAAAAAATAGAGTGGGAGATTAAAGTCAACTCAAAGAAGAAGGAAGAGAGCAGAAGGAAAATAATTGGTTAAAATGGATACATAGGAAACAATTAAAATGAAAGGATAAATATAGAGGAGATTTTAATAAACTATTTCCCAGTTTGATTTTTGTGGCTTATATATAACAATTGAAAAATATTATGCAGCCTCAATTATTTATGGAATATTTACATCCTCCTTTGTCCATAAAGTCAGTTCCATAAATTTGCAAAGAACAGAAAAACGTTCTAATACTAGTAAAACATAATGTGTTCTAATTATAGAAGCTTTTGTTATACTGAGATAGATAAATGAAAAGGAAAAAAAAAAAAAAAACCACCCAACAAACAAAAAACACACCTAGAAACGTCAAGGTCACATTTTAAACCACCAAAGATAGTGATATGAACCTATTTGCTGTGGAAGGAATAAAAGCTACTTTGACATCAGCAGGGCAGTGATACCAGAAGCAAAAAGAAATGCAGAAACAGTAAGTAATAAGGGGAGATAACTTTGTAATTTATAGTCAAACTATTTATAATCAGCCAGACTATTTATAGTCAGTCAAATTATTGTTAAGACCCCATGGGGGCTGGGGCTGGGGCTCAGTGGTAGAGAGCTTGCCTAGCCCTAGCAAGCATGAGGCACTGGGTTTGATCCAGCCTCAGCAAAAGAGAGGACTAAGCAACTCAGTGAGATCCTGTCTCTAAATAAAATACAAAATAGGGCTGGGAATGTGCTCAGTGGTTGAGTGCCCCTGAGTTCAATCCCCAGTAACTACCCTCCCCAAAAAATACACAGGTGATCAATTATCAAAACTCACCTCTTACTAACTCACCTCTTTTGTGCTATCTTGCAGTTACTCCTGCTCTTCAGGCTGTTGACATGTCTTCTGTGTACGTGGTGGAAGTGCTCTGTGGTGGGTGACTGCATGCCTTCCCAGCCCCCCGTTCAGGACATCACAGGGAGGACTTTGACTTGGCCATGTTTGGAACAGTTACACTAGGGCAATAGCAAAGGCTGGGAACCAGGGCCTTTATTTTCTTTATCAGCCTGTTGTTAGACAAGGGCTAATGTTCTTATGACCAAGATGGTGCAAGTTCTAGCCTGGCAACCAAAAAAGAAAGGAGAGATGTCAGGAAGAAGAGAGAGGAGAGCTTCTCCCAGAGTGCTCAGCTGCACGAGTGGCTTTTCTCTGTAGACAATGTGATGCTTTGCTGGCCTCTGCCTTGCCTGGGGTCCTTCGGTGGCTCCTCGGAGCTCCCAGCAGCCATGGCCTTGGGTTTGCAAGTCTAGATCAGAGAGATGGTGAGTCAGCTGCTGTCTCTACTCCTTCCTCAGGGAGAACTTTCGTCTTTGTCTTTAGTTATTTTCCATTCCTTTAGCTCAAAAAATAATTATTTGCATTTTAATGAATTTGAAGAAATTGGATTTTGCATGTTATCTTCTGTTTGTTTTATTATAAATTTATTTTTATTTTTTTCTGGATAGATTTCTCCCTTATTGGGTGCCATTAAATGCTCATAAAGGAAATTAAGTCAGAAGGGAATTGTTAGGGGCTATACATTTTTTTCCCATTTATTTCATCTCTTTTTAGTTCTAGAATAGGCTATGGAAAGGTTACTGGTCAAGTAAGCTGATCATGAAAATTTCAAATATATAAACAAGTAAATGAGCCAACGTCTGAGTCACTGGGGGAAGTCAGCAGGCCACCACACAATGCCTCTGTGATGGGAAGAGTCCTGCTGATGGGCAATGCCCACCAACCCAGGACATCATGTGGGAGAAGACCACGGGTAGGCTGTGCAGATAGTAGAGATTTCCTTCTTATGCAGTGTGAAGGAAGCTGTATCCCATCACAACACTTCAGTGTCATTGAGTAAATTACCTTTTCTGTTGCAGGAATAATAGTTCAAATGATTAAATCAGTGAATACAATTAAAAATAAAGTGCTCTACAACCTTCTAAAGAGTCAGACTGATTTTTCTGTGAAAGATGAGTTAATTCATTTAGGAAGTACAGCTGAACATGAACTCTGCCCCCTCTAAGTGTATCCTTGTAAATGTTGGTGATGTAGTCATGGAGTTGAAGATTTGCTCCCTTCATGTAATATTCCAAAGATCTGGGTTTAAGTACAGCTTGAGTTTCTTTATCCCTTAAAAATCAAGCATGGTACTTAGTTATCAGATACAGATAGGAAAGAGTTGACACAAGAGGAAAACCCAGAGGGTGAGGGTTGGGGAGCATACCCATAATTGTCCACTCTCATTTTTTTTTTTTTAATGTGAAGAAACATTTTGTGGCCTGAGAGTTAGGCTTAAAATGTCACTCAAATATTTATACCATGACAGTAAAAATATTCTCATTGAAACCAGATTTCACATTTACATTATCAAATGACCATTTTTGGTCTGGTGATGACTCTAATATCAGATTAACATCTAAACATTTCAGTGGTTGCAAAGATTATAATAACCAAGTAAACACTCAATTTAATTATTTTAAAGAAGCCCAGTGGACTTGCGTGTTGTGTTTCAGATCTGCAGAGATAGAAATGTGTTATTGTTATGATTCAGTCTTCCCTGCAGTGGGAAGATTATAAACATACAGAGGAAAATCCTCCTAGTTTAGGATCCACTTATTTCCATTATATTTAATTAACAGCTTAGAATAAGATAAGCAGTCATTATGAAATGGTTGTACAAAATTTATCTTGTATATTCAGACCATTCTTATTGCATATTTAAATTAACTTTTTGTAAGAGAGTAACAATTGGCTGATGAGGTTTAGTGTTTATGATTGCCACTCTGATTGCATGTAATATGTGTTTCAATAAACATTCCTTGGTTTTGCTACCAGACTTCATGTTCATTCCTGAAGTGTGATTTACAAAGTTCAATGTATCAACATTTCTTCTGAAGGATTATCTATGCGTTTTTGTTTTATGTGTATAATTTTATGTTTTTCACTCATGCATTCTATTTGATGTATTTATGTTGTTTATTTATTTATTTATGTATTTATGTTGTTTTCTATTGATTTATGAAAAGTAATAAAATATTTCCTAGAAATGCTTTTGTGAAAAATAAAGGAAAGGGGGTATTATGAAAGATACTATGAGGGCTGAGTAGAGAATTTGGGCAGGTTCAGGTGTTTCCAGGGACCAAAGGCAGAGAGGCAGCTCCCAAGGGGCTGAGCATCATGGCCAGTGATCTTGTGGCTACACCTGGCTCAGTGATTTTTATGAGTTCCCTAATACAAGAGAAAATTATTATAGAGATAGTAATGAGTTAGTATTATCATTCAACATAGAATTAAATGCTCTTAGAGTTTATTTACTATTTTATTTGTTCTTTTCAGTTATATATGACAGTAGAATGTATTTTGACATATTATACATACATGGAGTACAACTTCCTATTCTGTTGGTTGTACATGATGTGGGATTACATTGGTTGTGTATTCATATATGAGCATAGGAAAGTAATGTCTGGGTGATTCTACTGTCTTTCCTAGTCCCATTCCCCCTCCTTCCCTTCCTTCCCATTTGTCTAATCCAAAGTGCTTCTTTTCTCCCCTAACCACCCGCATTGTGAGTTAGTATCTGCACATCAGAGAGAGAGAATTCGGCCTTTGTTTTTTGGGGATTGGCTTATTTCACTTAGCATGATAGTCTCCAGTTCCATCCATTTACCAGCAAGTGCCATAATTTCATATCTCTTTATGGCTGGAAATATTCCATTGGGTATATTTTAGAATTCATTTTTAAAATCATTGCTTGTGGTGGTTTTTCTGGAATTCACATTTAAAGCCTGAGGTTGGGTTAAAGGTTTACATTTAACAGAATAACCCTGAAATGATAGCTTTCTATACCAAGAAACATAAACTGTAGAAAAGTTGACACCTTGAAATGCTTGCATTAAAAATTTTTAAATTGCTACATTTTAAGAAATAAAACTTATACCTAATGAAGAAAATTGATGTTATTAGATATGGATATAAATTCCTAAAAAATTAGATTTGACTGTTACTTTGTTGCCATCAAAATTAAAATTTATTTTCTAAAATTAAAAGAGTTAATGTCTCATATAAAAGCAGATTTCTGAAATCTGCATTCTAAGTAAGAACATGCTATAATATTAATTTTCACTTTTTTTCTTCTTAAAAACTTCCTTAAGAAACTTTGTACTCCAAATTTATCCTGACAAAAGTTAAAAAATAAAAAATAAACACCCAGAAAACCGTCTCCAAAAGTAGCCACATGAGCCTTTCATTCCACATTATTCTTGTGTAGGGAGTTTAGCGACCCTGGATCAAGCCGGCTCATAGCATTCCAGATGCTGCTGCCTTCCAACCTCAGGGCCACATTCTCATCCTGTCAATCATGGGGGCTGTCGTCGTGGAGACCAGAGCCAGGATCTTGGCAGAGGTGGTTGAAATTGACTAGGAAGAAGCATATGAGATTTTTTTTTCCTTTCTGCTCCCCCAAATGCTTGCATAAATGCTTCTTTCCAGAAAGGACTGCTCTGTTCATGACTCGGATGCTGAAATCCTGGGTTCTAAAGCTGAAAGCGGCCACCTGCATGGGAGACCCCATTGGGGACGGGAAGTTGTCAACAGTTTTGATGACAACTCTATCAAAAGTGGCAGTAAGAATGCAGTATCATTTATTCTACAATAAAAGCAGATGGAGACAAAAGGAACTGATTGGCTTGTTCATTTCTGCCTTATGATTCTCAGTCTCACCAATGCTGAGCCAGGGAGCACATTTCCATAGAACATGGACTGCACTCATCTGTTGGTGCAGCCAGGAACATTTTTTGCCTAATACTTCTAATACTATTCATTGCTGAGCATTTTAGAAACTCATTGTTAACATTAAGAAACTTATTTCTCACTCCCATACATTTAGTAATATACATTTATATTATGGGCATGAGGCAGATAACTAAGAAAATAAAAATGATTAGATCGGGGAAAATGTTTAGATTTGCCCTTAAGATGCTAAATGGCTTCTTCCAACATGGGATTTCACTATTCAAATTCTGCAATTTCCCAAATAGCACATGATATAAAATTCGTTGGTTATGGCGACTGGAGGGTGTCAGCACAGGTGGAGACCCTGATCAGTCAGCGGGTTCTGGGAGAAGGACGCAGGCTGGGCCTGTGGGGACGGACCCTGAGTGGAGATGGAGGACCTGCCTTGGCCTTCCTGGGACATCCTGAGATGGACTCCACCGTAGATCTACACGCTCCTCCAGAGGGTCGGCAGGTGCCCCTAACAGGACAGCTACACAACCTTATCTTGACTTTTCATCTCATAAGATAATCATCAAGCAGAGACCAGACTCAGTCTTGGTTGAAAACACGTGTTTTTGACCAAGGAGTGGTTGAGCCCATCTCTATTTTAAAAGTGTCTCAGGGCCACCTAGAACTAGTGGTTGACTTTCTGTCCCATAAACTTTCCCAGAAAGGATACAGCTGGTGTCAGTTAAGCCATGTGGAAGGGAACAGCATTGAAGCCCCAGAAGGGACTGAATCAGAGGTGGAACCCACCAGTGCCATCAATGACAACCCATCCTGGCGTCTGCTGGGCAGCCCCATGGTGAGTAGAGCCACTGGCCATCACAGGAGTTTGGATGCCCCGGAGGTGACTGAAGCAAGCACTGAGGGAGGCAGGCGACAAGTCTGAACTGCAGCAGGTACCTGCAGGCATTCAGTGACATGACGTCCAAGCTCCACGTCACCCCAGAGACAGCACATCAGACCTTTGAACAGGTAGTGAAGGAACTCTTCCAGGATGTGGTCAACTGGGGCTGCATTGTGGCCTTTTGCTCCTTTGGAGGAACCCTGTGTGTGGAAGGCATAGACAAGGAGAAGCAGGTATTGGTGAGTCAGATCGCAAGTTGGGTGGCCACTTACCTGAATGATCACCTAGAGAACAGGATC